CCTTGGAACCACCAGTTTACTGGGTTCAGAAGGGTTTTTTGGGCCTTTTCAGGGCCAGATGGAACAGTCCCTCTCTTGCTGCGTCGCCGCCGAGGAGGAAGGCTCAGTTGGGGCTTTTATGGGGCCCAGGTGGTCCCGCCTACCTCTGCCTCGCCACGCCCCCAGTTTGCCGGGTTCAGGAGGGTTTGGGGCTCTTTCAGGGCCAGGTGAAACAGTCCCCCTCTCCCGCTGCGTCGCCGTCGAGGAGGAAGGCTCAGTTGGGGCCTTTATGGGGCCCAGGTGGTCCCGCCTACCTCCACCTTACCACGCCGCCGGTTTGCCGGGTTCAGGAGGGTTTGGGGCCCTTTCAGGGCCAGGTGAAACAGTCCCCCTCTCCTACTGCATCGCCGCAGAGGCTGGATGGCTGGATGGCTGCCTTTTGGGGTTACTTTGATACTGTGTTCCTGCATGGCAGGGGGTTGGACTGGATGGCCTTTGTGGTGTCTTCCAGCTTTATGATTCTGTGAAATCACATGCAAGAACCACATACTCCATATACGGTACTTCACATTGTAAGTTCTCCTCTATTTTTCACACACACACACATACACACACAGAATGCCAATTAATAGATTCCCTTCTCTCTCTCTCTCTCTCTCTTAACCTCTTATCCTTAAGCATTCCTTCAACACACTTATCTATTCAAAAGCATACAACCATATACCCCTTTTACCCGTTAAGAGTGCATTCAGACATTTATTTCTTCTCTACAAAGGGACAGAGAACCTTGATAGGCATCACAGGAACTGCCTGTGAGTGCCATGGTTTGTTGGGAACTCCTGGCCAAGACAAAGGAAAATGAAACACATAGGAAGTAGACATTTTTAACGAGGGTAGGAGCAGGAAACAACATGATTGTTCTTCCATCCAGCTTTGTGGGATACTGTGAGGAAATGAAGCACTTAGTGCTGTTTGAGGCACACTGGGATCAGGGCTCCCAGACTAGTCTGACATGCTTTGGTATGATGGCAGAATCAAGACCAAAGAAATGCATGCTAATTAAGGCAATACCCCTGGAAGGTTTTTTTAAAATCATTCCCAGATAAAAACTGATACTTTATTTTATGAGTCTTTCTTCCCAAACTTTCAAATTTGCACTATGTCATCATTCTGAGAACATAGAAAGCTGACATTCTAAGTGTACAGTTGATTGTGATCATTTTTACTCTGTTCTGCAATCCAGCAATTCCCAGTGGTTTATTTGTTTTAAATTAAACTCTGTGACAATAAGATATGGCAAAGAAAAAATATGACAAAGATTCCAAGGTATAACATTACAAATAAAAGCAGAGTTAAGAGCAACAAAATGTAAATGGCATGAAGATTTCAGAAAGGCTCTTGCAAGAGAAGGTGGCTTAGAATCATAAATTTTTAGTGTTGGAAGAGACCACAAGGGCCATGCAGTCCAACCCACTGCTGTGCAGGGAATACACAATCAAAACACACCCAACAATGTTCATCCAGCCTCTGTTTGAAAACCTCCTAAGGAGACTCCACCATTCTCTGAGGCAGCGTGTTCCATTATCAAACAGCTCTTACTGTCAGGAAGTTCTTTAGGTGGAATCTCTTTTCCTGTAGTTTGAATCTGTTGCTCCATGCCCTAGTCTCTGGAGCAGGAGAAAAAAAGCTTCCTCTTTCCTCACTATGATATCCCTTCAGGTATTTAAACATGGCTCTTAACCTTCTCTTTCCCAGGCTAAACGTACCTAGTTCTTTATAAAGCATGGTTTCCAAATCTTTTACCATTTTGGTTGCCCTCCTCAAGGTTAATGCCTGCCAGGAATTTGAATTGTGTCCAGAAATGGACCAGGGCCCAATACTATCATTTTAAAACTGTTGTAGCATAGTTCATTAACCAGTTAATAATCCAGATGCTCTATTTTGAACAAGTTCCTGCCATTTACAATAAGCTGAGATCCTGGATCAGGAAATATATAGTAAAGCTCTGCACAAGGGGAATTGCATCATGTCAGCTCCTCATACCTCAAACCCACATTTTGAGTTGCTGCAGCCCTCCCAACACAGCCATTTACAAGCCAGTGGAGAGCAGGCAGGCAATGGAGAAGAGGTGTTCTTATAATAGGATGCACAGTGACAGGCATCCTGTGGGTTCTCCCAGAGGTTCTCTGGAAATCCTGAAACATGACATTATTACTGGTTGTAAGTTACACTTATGTGTATATATGGTGTCAAGTCACCTGTTAATTTAGGGCAACCCCATGAATTTCATAGGGGTTTCTTAGGCAAGGAATACTCAGAAGTGGCTTGTCATTGCCTTTTTCTTAAATATAGCCTGCACCTTCCTAAATTATCAACAAAATTCCAGTCACCTTCTTCTGGTCATACAGTGTATGATGCTTTCCTATCCTACACAGCAGGGTTGGCCAACTGTGGCAGGTCTGGAAGCTAGCTTTCTGCCTCTGACAGCTTCATGCAGCCATATGGACTGCCCAAATTGCCAGGAAACAAACCAAAATTAGAAGTGGCCAGAAGTCCACTTCTGGTTTTGAACAGTGGGTAATGTTAAACTGTTTTCTGACAGGCAAATTTACCCCCCCCCCAATTTTTTAATTTTTTGGCCAGAGACAAAGTAGTCCATGGGGTCTAGAGGGTTTGATGGCTACAAAACCTCAAGGAGAGTGGGGGGTTAGGGCTACTCTTTGCCCACTCCAGCTGTAAGGAAATCCAAATGGACTATTACTGCACCATAGATGAACTGCCTCTATTCAGCAGGAGGTCCCACTGAAGCACTATTGCATGTGCACTTTTCATTGTGCACTAACTGACTCAAATGTCAAGACAAAGCTGGGGGCAGGCAAAATAAGGATTTGTTGTGTGCATTCAAGTTACTTCCAACTTATGGTAACCCTAAAACGTTCAGAGGATGTTTGTCATTGCCTTCC